CCACAATCAGTACGTTTCTCGTAACTTTAAACTTAACAACTTTTATAATACATGCTATAAATTACAGCAATTCACAATTTTGATAACTCGCTCTCGATGAATGCAAAACACACACTTTACGGCTCACTAGCTCGAAACTAATAGAATCATGAATTACACGGAACTCAAAGTAATTACTGCTCTCTCTTCATTCATATATCCCCTGCTGACTTTTCACTGCCAGGCTTATATACTAACGAAGAGAGCATCTCGAACACACTCGGACTTCCCTGATCATTCGAGAAACTCATCACGCACATCACGTGACTTCCGCTGTCGTAAGATATTGTTCTGTTGCTACAGAAAATAGTGTGAATGTGTGCACAACACCAGAAAAATAACAAAATATCGGGTAATTTATGACTTACTTTTAAGTTTGTATTTTATACATAAAATAATCGTGATATTTTAAAGAAAGGTATAACGCATATTAAAACTGTTGGGGCAAAAGTTGATGCAATGGAAACGATTACATTCAAAAGTTGGTGGGCATAACGTAGATTGTCCATTTGAAATGAGAATTACAATGCAAAAGAAAAGGGGGGGCATAACGAGGCCTAATCTATTCTTTGATTCGCTACTACTCCTGCTGCAAAAGACGAGTTTCGCCGATGTCACGGCTTATCAGTGTTGCTAGGAGGAGCAAATGAAATAAACAAAGTAGGCTTTATATAGTGGTGGAATTAAACAACTCATTTTGATTAGATATGTATAGGTCTGTACTTATTACTAATAATCTAAAATATTTTAGGTGTACCTAGGTTAGTAGTAGTGAGTAAAGTACTATGCATTTAAATCGAAACAGTTATTTTGTTAATTACACACGTTTTTGAAATATAATCTTACAGTTTCGGAGTATTCGTCCTTCAGCGTATTATTCATTGAAAAAGAAACTACTGCTTGTATAATTTAAACAGTTGGGAAAAAGGGTTTCTGTAGTTATGAGTATGTGTGTGACATAGTTTTTGTCAGAATGTGTACATCTGTTAATTGTTTGGGTTATTTCAGTTTTGCTTTGTAATAACTGTAAACGATTTCAGTACTTGTCACTTTATATTCTCTAGTGTTTCACATGGCTTATTTAATACAGTTTGCGATAAGTGAGAGGTTACGAAGGTAATATTTCAATGTCACTTGACTTATCCTAATCATGCATATTGTTGC